TCATCATCAGCAGCAGCAGCATCATCATCATCATCGTACTCCCCCGAGGGGCCCTTCCGTTCCGTTCCTCCTCCTCCTCGGTTTTCTCCTCCTCCTCCATGTTTCCCTCCTCCTCCTCCTCATCATCATCATCATCATTATCATCATCATCATCATCATCATCATCATCATCATCATCATCATCATCCTCTCATCCTCTTCCTCTCCTCCTCCTCGTGATCCTCCTCCTCCCCTCCTCCTCCTCTCCTCCTCCTCCTCCTCTCCTCCTCCCCCTCCGCCTCCCCCATCCTCCGCCTCCTCCTCCCCCAGCTGGCCGCCGTCTTACACGAACACTGCCAAACCCGACGGGCTGGCGTTCTCCGAATTACACTTCGTGCAACTTTCGGGGGGGATCGTATTTTTTCCCCCTCCTTGGTTGGGTATTCGTTTTGAATAGAGCAGTGTGGTCTCCACTTCCTCCTTCCCGTCCCGTCTCCCTCTTGCCTCCTCCTGCTTGCCTGCGGGGGGCTGCGATCTGTGAAACTGTCGCCACTTTCGAGGCCTGCTGGGGGGCCCAGCACAGTGACGCCACGGCGGACCAAATTAGACCTCGCCATCCCTGGGGGGCTGCGATCTGTGAAACTGTCGCCACTTTCGAGGCCTGCTGGGGGGCCCAGCTGCGATCAGCCACTTTCGAGGCCTGCTGGGGGGCCCAGGCGCGGGGATTCAAATTAGACCTCGCCATCCCTGGGGGGCTGCGATCTGTGAAACTGTCGCCACTTTCGAGGCCTGCTGGGGGGCCCAGCACAGTGACGCCACGCGGGATTCAAATTAGACCTCGCCATCCCTGGGGGGCTGCGATCTGTGAAACTGTCGCCACTTTCGAGGCCTGCTGGGGGGCCCAGCACAGTGACGCCACGGGCGGACCCAAATTAGACCTCGCCATCCCTGGGGGGCTGCGATCTGTGAAACTGTCGCCACTTTCGAGGCCTGCTGGGGGGCCCAGCACAGTGACGCCACGGGCTGACCCAAATTAGACCTCGCCATCCCTGGGGGGCTGCGATCTGTGAAACTGTCGCCACTTTCGAGGCCTGCTGGGGGGCCCAGCACAGTGACGCCACGGGCGGACCCAAATTAGACCTCGCCATCCCTGGGGGGCTGCGATCTGTGAAACTGTCGCCACTTTCGAGGCCTGCTGGGGGGCCCAGCACAGTGACGCCACGCGCGGACCCAAATTAGACCTCGCCATCCCTGGGGGGCTGCGATCTGTGAAACTGTCGCCACTTTCGAGGCCTGCTGGGGGGCCCAGCACAGTGACGCCACGGGCGATTCAAATTAGACCTCGCCATCCCTGGGGGGCTGCGATCTGTGAAACTGTCGCCACTTTCGAGGCCTGCTGGGGGGCCCAGCACAGTGGGCCCCACGGCGGATTCAAATTAGACCTCGCCATCCCTGGGGGGCTGCGATCTGTGAAACTGTCGCCACTTTCGAGGCCTGCTGGGGGGCCCAGCACAGTGACGCCACGGGCGGACCCAAATTAGACCTCGCCATCCCTGGGGGGCTGCGATCTGTGAAACTGTCGCCACTTTCGAGGCCTGCTGGGGTGCCCAGCACAGTGACGCCACGGGCGGACTCAAATTAGACCTCGCCATCCCTAGGGGGCTGCGATCTGTGAAACTGTCGCCACTTTCGAGGCCTGCTGGGGGGCCCAGCACAGTGACGCCACGCGCGGACCCAAATTAGACCTCGCCATCCCTGGGGGGCTGCGATCTGAGATCCCCGCTTTCGAAGTGGCTAGGGTTGCTCAGGGATTGCAACTAATCAGCTTTATCTAGTCCTTGTCCTGAAGCCAGTTTCCTGCGAGTCTCCCGAATCCCGTCTGCAGACATATGTAACCCTCGCTCCGTCATCGCCCCCCTTATAAAGTGTCCTAAACTATTTGCGCCCCGCGTTTGCGCAGGGGTTGGGTACGTCGCCAGGGTAATGTTTCGTTCCCGAGCGTTGGCACGGGACGAGTTGAATGATACACTTGCGTTGCAATCGATTGCAATACATTGGATTGCAAACGATTCGATTGCGATCCATTGGATTGCAATCGATTGGATTGCAATCGGTTGAATTGCAATTTGCTTCAATCGATTGGATTGCAGGGGAGGGACAGGACGGAAGGGAGGGAGGGGAGGAGAGGGAGGGGAGGGAGGAGATGGAACGAAGGGTGTGGAGGGAGGGGAGGGAGCGGAGGGAGGTGGGGAGGGGGATTGCAGTGGAATGGAGTGCAATCGATTGCAAGCGATTCGATTGGGATTTTCGATCGTCGATCGTTGATCGTCGATCGTCCATCCTCGATCGTGGATTGTTCATTTTGGATCGTCGGCGAAAGGGAGGGCGGAGGCTCCGGGGGCTGGGCGGCCAAAGGGGGCAAGGGGGGGGGGCAAGCTTCCAAGCCCCCCCCCCCTTTGGCACAAAGGGGGGGAGGGGGGTGGGAGCTTCCAGCAGGGCGGCTCCAAGGGAGGGGGGCGGTAGCTTAAGCACCCCCCCCTTTGGGGGTAGGGGGGGGTAGCTTCCGGGGCGGCCAAAGGGGGGGGGGGAGGTGGGTAGCTTCCAAGCCCCCCTCCCCCTTTGCACGAAAGGGGGGGAGGGGGGGAGGTAGCTTCCAGCAGGGCAGCGCCAAGGGAGGGGGGGGGGTAGCTTAAGCACCCCCCCCCTTTGGAAAGGGGGGGAGGGGGGGGTAGCTTCCGGGGAGGGCCCAAGGGGGGAGGGGGGGGGTAGCTGTAAGCCCCCCCCCCCCCGTGCAAAAAAAAGGGGGGGAGGGGGGGGGTGCTTCCAACAAGGGCGGCTCAAGGGAGGGGGGGGTAGCTTAAGCCTAGCCCCCCCTCCCCTTTGCTCGGGCCCTGCGGGCGCGCTCTCTCGTATATTCCGATTCACATTTGTTCATTTCCCGCACCCCCCCCCCCTAAACCGGACCGCCCCCCAGGGACGCCCTGGACACCCTTTCGGACGTCTTGGCGGCCCCCTGGACGCGCTTTTTAAAGGTCCGCTGGCCCTTCCGGGCCTCCCAGGGCGCCTTGCTGGGCCTTGCGAGCTGACTCAATGCGAGCAGAGGGGTCATCGGAGAGGCGCAAGAGAGACCCAAGATAGCACAAGAGCGCTCCGGGAGGAACCTCGATGGTCTGAAGACGGCCCAAGAGGCCCCCAAGACGCCCCAAGAGGCCGTTCAGAGAGCCCCGAAGAAGCAAACATCGTCCCATTCCTTTCGCAAAATTATATTTCTAGCATGTCCGCTTTGGGGGGCCTTCCCAGCGTCCAAGACGGCCTGATGGGCCCCCGAGAGGGTTTTCAGACGGCCCAAGAAAGCCCCAATACTGTTCCAGAGATCCCCGAGATTGCCCACAAGAAGCCCAAGATGCCCCCAGAAGGCTCCCAAGAGAGACCCACGAAAGCCATGGGAGACCCCCTTCTGGAGGCTCCCAATAGGGCCCTAGATGGCTTCAGAAGACCTCTGGAGGGCCCCAGCTCTTCAAGACGGCCCAAGAAGGCCCCAGGACGGCTTAAGAGGGCCTCAAGACGGTCCAAAAGAGCACCAAAAACGCTCAGACGGGGTTCTCCGACGAAGTACATCGAGCTGACCCGACGATCGTGGTCCCACGCTTGAGGCTCAAGGTGTAAATTCCTCGATCGAGAGAGACAGGCAGAGGATCTAGATTCGAAGTTCGACGATCGAACGTGTCCTGAGTGCCTGGAGCCCTCCAAGAGATCAGGAATCGACCAAACATCGATTTGTTCGGAGCTACTACGACTTCTTCGGCGTGTCATGGAAACGCTCCTGACTTCCTCAACGGACCTTGGCGTGTGAAGAAACTCATCATTCCTTCCCCGCTCCTGCGCACAAGCGTGCAAGCGCATCGGGCGAACGCGGTGTCAGCAGGCGCCAGGGATATCAGAAAAATGAGCTGGTCGCCCGTCCATCGAGGTCCCCCCCTGCTCAAGCAAGTGATGATTGATTGCTTTGACAACTAAGAGTCCGGAACAAGGCGCATGGCGCGAAGCGCTAATGCAGTCTTGTATATAGTCATGAGAGAGAGAGGGAGAGAGAGAGAGAGAGAGAGAGATAAAAAAAATGAGAAAAGAGAGATCAGGGTTTCTGGAGTCGGCCGTGTGCGCGCGTGCACCTTATCGACAATCCCTTCGTCCAGCGTGGAGGTCGTCGCTGTGGCGGCCCATCGAGGCGCGACAGAGTAGTCTGCTTTGGTAGCCTTGCAGGCCATTCCCATGATCAGGGAGCGACGGCAAGGGGTCCGCGCGTTCCCCGAGCTTGCGCAGCGTCCGCCTCTGCACACGGGCGCGCCTGCACCGCGGCCCCAACTAGCCCGCGGCTGCCTCCGCACAGGCACGGGCGCCAACGAGGCGAAACGTCGAGACACCCACCCAGCGCACAAGTTGCCCACGAGGAGATAAATCGATCGGTTGGACGTAAGAGCAATCCGAGACTAGTGGGTCGAGTATCCTTCGGTGCGCGGCTTTCGGGGAACCCGTGGGGGCCAAGCGCAACGACTCAAACCGTTGCTGCGCGCCCCCCCGGAAGATTTCAGAAGTCTTGGATCGTTCGGGGTCTTTCAGAGTTCAGCGTCTATCGATATGGACTCTTTCGTGTCGTTGTGGGATTGGTTCGAGGGTCGTTCCCTGAGCAGCTTGTGTGCAAGGGTTCCATGTACTTACGATAGCGCCTGGTGAGGGATGCCAGGCCCACGAAATCGGTGGCCCATCCAGGTTCCCCCTCGTGGCTCCGAATCGGGCCCCCCGTCGGGGCCCCCCCATTTGGGGCTCGTTCCGTGTACCTCAGTGAAGCTGCTCAGGGTCTCCTGCCGCAAGGGTGTGATTTGTGTACCACATACGAAATGCAGAATTCGGGCGTTCGCTCTGGCAAGAGCTTCGTGCTTCAAGGACCCACGCAGCGGTTCTCGAACCTCGTTGTGCGTCGGAGATGTCAGGGTCGCTTTGGATTGTTTGGAGACAAGACACAGATGCCTGCGGCCGTCGCACTCCCCGAGCCTCTCTGAGTGCGACGGCAGAGGGCCCTGAGCGGAGCCTACAATGGCCATTCGTGCAATCGGGCGCAGAGCCCGCTCGACGCAGACGCGCGTCGGCGCGGAACTTCTCGGGTGACCCCGCTGCCGCGACGTACGCGCGACGCGTCTTCTTGGGGACGCTGATGGGTGGGGATGTTTTGGGCCAAGAGCGTTACTGCTCAAGGGCGATAACGGTCTTTACTGTGGAGGAGGGAGGTGGGGGCGGGGGGCCGGCAACGTCACGTTTAGCGCCGGCGCCGTTCGGGAATGTCTAGGAATCAACAAACATACCAAGAAGGTCAACCGAATCGTGACGTTATTTGCGGGAGGTTTGGGGGCGGCCAGGGCCGGTGACGGCCGTTGTCGCGAGAAATTCCAAAACGTTTTCCGAGCGCCATTTTAGATGTCACCCTTTGCATTTATCCGATAGAACATGCTCAGCCGTCGGCCCGCGGTCAGCAAAGGGAAGAGGGGGAGGAGGGGCTGCAGAGGCTGCAGTGCACGGCATAAGTACTCTCGCTACATGCTCGGGCGTTGCGTAATGGGGAGGGCGATGAATGGGGGGGAGGGGGAGGGAAAGTACGCCTTTTGGGCCTAAAAGAGTTCCCCTGGAGCTCAAAAGGGGCACAACAGGTGCACTTTTCTACCCCCCCCCCCCCCAGCTATCGCCCCCGTACTAAGCAGCGCCCAACAGGCGCAAGAAACTAGACGCGGCTTGAAGCTTAGAGCAGCACAGGTTGCTTTCGCTCGAGACAGGGCGACGCTTCCGATCCGCACGGCGGCACCCAGCCGCGCCATACTCGCAAGCTGGGGGGGGGGGGAATCCAACGACTCCCGCGCCGCGGCCTGCTCGCAGCGTGGACCTCTGGAGCTCTCGAGCCCGAGCCGTCCTTCCCCGCGGCGTGGAGCTGGGCCCCGAGGTCCTGCGGGGGGGGGGGGGCGCAGTGGCCTCGGAGAGTCGCTCTCGAGGGGGGGCATCTCCTGCCTCGCCCTCCTCGGCGTGCCCGCCTTGCGCACCGCGCGGCGGCCGCCACCAGTGTCTCGTCTACCCGGAGTCGTGTGCTCGACGGACCCGGGCTTGGCAACGCTCGGACGCGTGCATGTCTTTTCGGCGAGGGCCATCGAGGAGCATCCTGGATCACCGAGCCCAATAGTCAACGCGCGAAGCCGAAAAATGCACGGGGAATGGGCGTACGAGCGATGGCAAGTGGGGCCCGGTTAGGGCCCTCAGAGGCCGAAAGTGGCAAAACGGTGTCCCCCTCCTTCTCCTGCGTCTTCGTCCTCCTCCTCCTTCGCCCATTTCGTTCTCCTCCGTCTCCTGTTTCTCACGCTCTCCCATGTGCGCGTTGAGTTCACAAGCTGAGGGGACGCAGGCTTGTCTGGGCCTTGCTGTGGCACTTGTGCGTCGCTGCATTGGCATCGATAGTTAGAACTTCGTTCCGTGGACTGGACACAACTGTGGCGAGACACTGAGCGTCGCGTTGATGTCCACGACCCGAGGAGGTCTGGGTTACCATTTTAAGTTTAGATCAGCCGAAACTCCCGCCAGCGCCCCACCTGCTGGAGGCGGGGCCCGAGTAGATGGGCTCGGACCGTAGACGGGCTAACAGCGATGCAGGCAACGGCGATGTAGGTTTCGATAGCGTGGGAATCCGTGGCCCGCGCTTTCCTGCAATTCGCTTTGTTGTCGTGTTCGCTCAATCCGTGCGCAGACTGGACATGTGGGAAAGCGTGATTCGCGAATTCCTACAAGTTCGTTCTCAACATCACCGTGAAGCAACATTGCCGTTAGCCCCGCCTTGGTCGGAGGATCGCTCCGACGTCGCCGATGCATCGTCGCCGTCGGCGTGGCGAAGAACTGCCCGCCGTGCTTTTGCCCACGGCGCCAGCCCAGACACCTCCAGAGGTCCCGACCGCTTCGGTCACCCGAGGCTGCCCTTGCATCCTGGGCCCGCTCTTGAGGGCCACGGGGCCCGAGCACGGGCCCTCGAGGTGGAGATCGAAGACCAACGCCCGGATTGAAATAGTGACCAAATTCTGCACGCCGACGTTTTTTTCCCTGCCCTGTCTGAAATTTCGGTGGCGAGCGAGGGGGGGGAATGAGAAGGATAAGGCCTTCTCAGAGGGCGGCGGCGGCGGGACTTCTCAGAAGCCCTCGTGCCTAATGAGAGGTTTGTCATGTCTTCGGGGAAGGCTTAAACACTTTTCAGAAAGCCGGGGGACTTCCGAACCTTCTGAGAAGGCTTTGTCCTTCTCACTTCCCCCTCTCGCACGCCGCCGAAAATTTGCACAGGAAAGCGGATCCTGGTGTATACTTGTCTTGTTGTATACGTGTTTCGCTGTTTCCTCAGGAGACGGGTTCAAAAAAGCATACACCACACCATCCCGAGGACCCCGACCCTCAAGAAGTCTTTGGATTGGAAACAGCCCGCCACTGGTATTGCAGATGCTCCAGTTTCCGATGAGAGAACAGATCGTCAGAAATGTGGGTCGTGGTCTCGGACGGTTGGCCAGCTGGTCGCAGGCCCGGCGCTGCGTGGGCAGAGCCGCGCGGCTGGACCGAACCGAAAAGTCAGGGTGCTCTCCAGTCTGCGCCGCCACGCCGCGGGCGACGAGGCACTCTTCTCTTTGTGGCAAAACCTGCAGGATTGTGCTCGAGGGCGTTCGGGTGGGTGAGCAGCGAGATGCGGCCTGGACGATCATACCCTTGCTCTTGGATGTGCGCCAGTCCCCCTGGCGGCGCCTTCGGCGCAGATTAAGGGGGTCCCGCGCAGATGTAAGGACTACGCGCGGACCTCCGAAGGTGTATGTTTTCGCCGATGATGATTAAAATTGATCCGCTTCTGGCCCGTCTGCTTCCGCCGCTTCTCTCCCTTCGCGCTCCCCCATTCAGCCAGTCGACACGCTTATCATACTTCGATATCGAATCCTCTGCGAAACCCCCTCGCAAGGAACCAGCTAACAACCTAATAATGCATTCTCATACTTGCAGCGCTTGCGCCAGCGCTTGCGCTACCTCCATCATCTGCTTCTTCGCACTGTGCGTGGTGCCCGCCGACGCCGCGCAGGGCTACGGAGCAAGCCTCGCCGCCTCGAAGGCGAGGTCGCCCCCAGCGGGCACGCCCGACGCTACCGAGCCTGAGAATTCCAGGAGCGGGGTCGTCACCATACCCCTGGACAAGCAGTACGTCCCGGTGGTTCGCAAGAACCACGTGGTGTCCTACAAGACAGCGTATTTCGGGAAGGTCTCCTTGGGCATGCCCCAGCAGGTCTTCGTTTGGGTTTCCTTTGGTTCTTTTACAGACGCCACCACTCTGAACCCGTTTAGCTATTTGTTCATTCCTAAATTTCAGCCAGAAAGACATTACCTAAACGACAATTCTGAACCCGCGTAGGCATGCTCAAATGCATCAGCATGTAGGATACCAACGTACACTTCGCACGCACGCCCAACGACCCGCACGCCCGCCTTACGCACGTAAGCCAAGTGTGGCCTACCAGAATCTCAAGAGAATCAAAGGGGACCCAAGTCTTCACCGTGCTCTTCGACACGGGCTCTGGCCACTTCTTCCTGCCGTCCGCCGCCTGCGAGACGGAGACCTGCGTGCGCCACAGGCGCTACGATGCCCGGGCGTCCTCCTCAGCAGTGGACATCGACCACGAGGGCCTGGAGGTCGCAGCGAACGCGACGGGCCGCGACCAGGTCGCCGTCGCGTACGGCACCGGCGAGATCGTCGGAGAGTTCGTCCGGGAGACGGTGCTCAGAGAAGAAAAAACAACATGTACAGTCGGGCCGTTGATGAAGGAACTTTTTTTGTTCGTTGGGGAGGGGCTCAGTGTTCCTTACTTGTTTTACAGTTTGTCTTAGGTCGTCCTCAGGTTTCCATGGGAAATCGAAGTTTTACTACATGGAAAAAGGGGCCCAGTTCCACAGCTAGGGTTATGACAGCGTTTCGACGGTGCATTCATGGTAGGAGGCTCGCGTGGACTGCTCGGATCGGCGCTAGACCCCTCCCTCCCTGGCTCGCGGAGCGCGCCAGGTGCGGCGACGGAGGCGCCGCCCAGGGCGCCAACGCAGATCCAAGAAATCCGTGTGGAGCTCCCAAAGTTTGCGTCTGTTCCGTTTGGCTCGGCGTCGCTCGCACGTGTGCTTCTTTTTCTCGGCGAGGGCAATCGTCGTGCGAGATATCCGGAGAACTTGGGATCATCGTGCGAAAGACGCACGCACGAAACTGAAAGAGGGCACGGGGAACGGACGTCCGAGCGATGGCGAGTTGGAGTCCAGGGCCCGGGGAAAACGAGGGGGCCCTTCTGGCCACGGCGAGCCTCCGCCACGGCCTGGGCTCCGAGGAGCGGTCCGAGAAGCCTGGAGCCCCTCCTGATCCCGAAGTTTGGCTCGAAGCAGAGGAGGGGGGCAGGAAGAGGGGGAGCAGGAGGAGGAGGAGGAGGAGCAGGAGCAGGAGGAGGAGGAGGAGGAGGAGGTAACGACGCAACAAGCTCAGCTCTTTGTGCCTGATCAACGAAACAACGGAGGAGGAGGAGGAGGAGGAGGAGGAAGAGGAGGAGGAAGAGCAGGAGGGTGGGGGAAGGGGATTATCGGATAGCGAAGGAGGGGTTACCGAATCGGCTCAAGCAGCGGGTTTTCCCGGCTCCTCCCGGCGCCGGAGGCGCCCCAGGCAACGAGGAATGGAATGCGGCAACAGTCGCGCGCAGCGATGATTTTTCGTTAGCTCGGGCAGCACTTTGGGTGACACTGCCTGTACCCTCGCTTCCTTAGCGGGTTCGAGCCTCACGCCGATGGATGAGTGCATGTGCTCATCTGGCTCTGGTGCCGAGACAGATACAACAGATACAAGTCCACCTTCCAACCCCAACCAACCTACCATTCTAATTTACAGCACTGCTTTGAGGCCGTACCCGGGCATGTGAAAAGAATTGAGGGCTTTAACTCTCTGCAGCAGGTGTCCGTCCCCTAATCTCCAAGCGACTCCTACAGACGCCAACTCGGGGTGTAGAGACCGCCATGGTTTCACTGAGCGGTTGACTACACGCTGAATGCCGGCGCCCTGCCACTGGAAGCAGAATGGGAGCACGATGCGAGACAAGGGACGAAATTTAGGCATAGAAATGGTGGTCCGACATAGCGGAAGATGTTCAAAACGAATTCTGGGAATCAGCGCGAGATGAGAGGAGGTACGCGCCAGAAGCGTGCAAAATTTGGTCACTTCGGCATTGGCGTAATGTGATTCAGAACACAGGCGGCGAACTCTTCTAACGTGGGCGATCGGCCAAGCTGCATGAACGCTCGGTGGATGCATACTCCGATCGTTCAGTGGGAGCCACAATGAGGATCTCTTGATGTGGACCCTGTGGTCAAGGACCTGTGTGTCCTGCCAATGCGGGCCGCGGTGAAATACAACATCAAGCATCTGAACTTCGTTGTGACCAACGCTCTCCACTTCAAGTTTAAACACCGTGGAGCGTTCCCGTAGAACGTGGATGCACTCATCCAGGCTCTCGCGGGAACCGGCGTGTATAAGCAAAATGTCATCACGGTACCGTACGTATGCGATTATACCGTGAGCAGCGCGAAACGCTGGGCAGGCAACGGTGTCTCGTTCGACTTGATTGAAATAGGCAGCATCCGAAACCTCTCCGCTGCACTGGAGTCCCATCCCGGAGCCGACCAACACTTTCCAAACGACGTCAGGCCTGGTATCGCAACTGACGTACTGGCAATCCAAGATGGTAGACAAGAGTATTTCCCAACCATCCTGTGGTGTTGGGTCCTCGTTTTGAAGAGACGTCGCCCCGCGTTCCTTCCTCCTCCTCCCTCCTCCTCCTCCCCTTCCTCCCCCCTCCTCCCCCTCCCACACCCATTCTGGCACACCCCTCACACGTTTCGTGGCCCCATAGGGAGCTCCACCGAAGGCCCCAGTGGCTGCGCCCGCATGCGGTTGCACCCCCCATTCTGGCACACCCCTCACACGATTCGTGGCCCCATAGGGAGCTCCACCGAAGGCCCCAGTGGCTGCGCCCGCATGCGGTTCCACCCCCCATTCTGGCACACCCCTCACACGTTTCGTGGCCCCATAGGGAGCTCCACCGAAGGCCCCAGTGGCTGCGCCCGCATGCGGTTCCACCCCCCATTCTGGCACACCCCTCACACGTTTCGTGGCCCCATAGGGAGCTCCACCGAAGGCCCCAGTGGCTGCGCCCGCATGCGGTTCCACCCCCCATTCTGGCACACCCCTCACACGTTTCGTGGCCCCATAGGGAGCTCCACCGAAGGCCCCAGTGGCTGCGCCCGCATGCGGTTCCACCCCCCATTCTGGCACACCCCTCACACGTTTCGTGGCCCCATAGGGAGCTCCACCGAAGGCCCCAGTGGCTGCGCCCGCATGCGGTTCCACCCCCCATTCTGGCACACCCCTCACACGTTTCGTGGCCCCATAGGGAGCTCCACCGAAGGCCCCAGTGGCTGCGCCCGCATGCGGTTCCCCCCCCCATTCTGGCGCACCCCTCACACGTTTCGTGGCCCCATAGGGAGCTCCACCGAAGGCCCCAGTGGCTGCGCCCGCATGCGGTTCCACCCCCCATTCTGGCACACCCCTCACACGTTTCGTGGCCCCATAGGGAGCTCCACCGAAGGCCCCAGTGGCTGCGCCCGCATGCGGTTCCACCCCCCATTCTGGCACACCCCTCACACGTTCGTGGCCCCATAGGGAGCTCCACCGAAGGCCCCAGTGGCTGCGCCCGCATGCGGTTCCACCCCCCATTCTGGCACACCCCTCACACGTTTCGTGGCCCCATAGGGAGCTCCACCGAAGGCCCCAGTGGCTGCGCCCGCATGCGGTTCCACCCCCCATTCTGGCACACCCCTCACACGTTTCGTGGCCCCATAGGGAGCTCCACCGAAGGCCCCAGTGGCTGCGCCCGCATGCGGTTCCACCCCCCATTCTGGCACACCCCTCACACGCTTCGTGGCCCCATAGGGAGCTCCACCGAAGGCCCCAGTGGCTGCGCCCGCATGCGGTTCCACCCCCCATTCTGGCACACCCCTCACACGTTTCGTGGCCCCATAGGGAGCTCCACCGAAGGCCCCAGTGGCTGCGCCCGCATGCGGTTCCACCCCCCATTCTGGCACACCCCTCACACGTTTCGTGGCCCCATAGGGAGCTCCACCGAACGCTCCAGTGGCTGCGCTCGCATGCGGTTTCCCCTTCCATTTCGGCACACCCTTCACACGCTTCGTGGGTGGCTCCATGGGGAGCTCCACCGAACGCCCCAGTGGCTGCGCTCGCATGTGGTTCCCCCCCCATTTCGGCACACCCCTCACACGGTTCGTGGCCCCATAGAGAGCTCCACCGAAGGCCCCAGTGGCTGCGCTCGCATGCGGTTCCACACCCTTTTTCGGCACGCCCTTCACACGTCTCGTGGCCCCATAGGGAGCTCCACCGAACGCCGCAGTGGCTGCGCTCGCATGCGGTTCCACCCCCCATTTCGGCACACCCCTCACACGTTTCGTGGCTCCATAGGGAGCTCCACCGAAGGCCCCAGTGGCTGCGCTGGCATGCGGTTCCACACCCCATTCTGGCACACCCCTCGCACGTTTCGTGGCCCCATAGGGGGCTCCACCAAAGGTCCCAGTGGCACTGCCCGCTTGCGTCCGCCACCACCCAGCACAGCCCTTGTTCCCTGCGCTTCACCCACCCAGAACAGCGCTTCGTAGCCCTATAGGGAGCTCCACCAAAGGTCCCAGCGGCACCGCCCGCATGCGTCCGCCACCACCCTGCACAGCCCTTGCTCCCTGCCTGCGTTTCACCCACCCAGTACAGCGTTCGTGGCCCCATAGGGAGCTCCACCGAAGGTCCCAGTGGCACCGCTCGCATGCGTCCGCCACCACGCAGCACAGCCCTTGCTGACCGCGTCTCACCCACCCAGTACAGCGTTTCGTGGCCCCATAGGGAGCTCCACCGAAGGTCCCAGTGGCACCGCCCGCATGCGTCCGCCACCACCGAGCACAATTGCGGCATTCACAACTGCATATGGTTGGGTCCTTCGCCAGGCTAATTTAAACGCAACCTTCGTCTCACCATCTAACAGTGCAGAGGCATGATACACAAGATCGGAATGGACACCGCTCATAAAATAGTCTTTGATGTCGATCTTGACTAAATGACAGCCTGCAGGGACGCGCACGGACGACATCATGTTCAAAAGATGTTGGGTGTCGCGTGCCAGGAATGGGATGGATCGCAATCCTGGCAACAACTGATCCGCAACCCATCGCATAGCAGGGGCCATGGGAGTGCGGCCACTGCAATGCAACAGGCGTAAATCTACTTTACCCGCAGGCTTGTGTGTCTTGATGGTTGCACCTACCTTAGAGATGATAGTGCTACAACTTTCCAAGCTCACATCGGACAGCATGACTCGGGCCAGGGCGTCATCCTCTAAAACGCCACATGCTTCCTTCACACCGTCAACAAAATCGTATGTGACAGCGCGAGCAAACTCGAAACCCGCACGGTACTCTCGGTACGATGGCCCAGACAAAAGGCGAGTAAAGCAATCATGCAAATCAAGTTACCGCAACAAACAGAAACCAGCGTCTTTGTCCGTAGGAAGAGCGCCTACGTCTCCTTTGCGAAGCAATGTAATGGCGAATTTGACAACAGCAGGCACATAATGCGAAGCACGCCTACTATGTACTAAACACGCTTTCCACACATCACGCTTCACAGCATCCAACATGCATTGTGCAGATAACGGGAGCTCTACAGGGCACTCGCGCGTGAACGGGCGCTTGGAAAGCAAATGCCTGTAAGGATTATCCGCGGTCTCAACATTCGAAGAGAAGTGGTAACGCCAACGGAGCTTCTGTTCCCAATTCCACAAAGCAAAAGAAACTTGAGACAAATCAGGCCGACGCTGAAATGCAAACACGTGTTTCCGGTGATACATGGTGAGCATAAACCTTACTGGCCATGCGATGGCGCATTCGCTCGGTACCGACACAGAGCTTGACTCTGGATGGTACAAATAAACGGGCATAGCAGAACAGGAGAGGAGGGAGTAAAAGTCAGGAGGGGGGAGGTCACGAGTAAGGCGAAGGAACATGGAAGCCAGCACGCTCTCACGGCTCCTCTCGCGCCTCTTCCCCCTGAGTCGGCGACCAGCCTCCCAATTCAATACTCTCTCCAGTTTGCGCGCCCTCCGCGCGCTGCTTTGCCCTTTTTGCTCTTGCCAGCGTTCTTGCCGTTGGCTCCCTTGCCGGAGCCGTTGCCGGAGCTCCTTGTCGAAGCTTTGGACTGCTTGCCGGAGCCCTTGGTCGAGGCCTTGGAATTTGTTGCTTCGCTTTGGACGTTTTATTTTTTTTTTTTTGTTGTGTTTTTCGGTTTTTCCTTTTTTGTATTATCCCCCTTTTTGTCTTTTTTCTTTGTTTTTTCTTTTTTTTTCCCTTTTTTTTTTTTTCAAATTTTGGCTTTGTTTTTTCTTTCCCCCCCCCCCCCCTCTTTCCCCTTTTTTTTTTTTTCTCGTGTTTTTTTCTTTCTTTTTTTTTTTTTTTTTTTTTTTTTTTTTCCTCTTGTTTTTCTTTTTTTTATGTTGCCCTTGCGCCGGCCTTCTTGCCCTTTTGTTTGTTTTGTTTTTTTTGTTTTTTTTTCCCACCGAGATCCCGATGAGCTAGAAAGTGCTTGCCTTTGCCTGAGCCCTTGCCCCCGCCCTTGCCGGGCGGGGACACGCCGTTTTTTGACGAGGCAGCGGCCACGGCATCCTCCCTCTGGACGGCGCCCGTGCCGCTCGCCGCAGTCGAGACAGCGAAGCGGCGTGTTGAGACAGCGCCGGGTGCAGGGCCTTTGCCGGCCCCACGCACAGCCAGCCGGGAGTCGATGGCCATGTTGAACAGATCGACGGGCTTCGTGGCGACCATCTCTTGGACCAGTTTGTCCTTGAGGGCAGCCTCTTTGGCGCGATCCTCTTTCATACGCGCCTTGGCGGCGGCAGCATGGGCGACCGTCTTGGTGTAGAGGACGTTCGCCTTGGCCTTTATCTGAACCTCGGACACGCCTGTGTCGATGAGGCCGGCCTGCGGATCGTCAGCACCGTCGAGGTCAAGATCCAAAGCCGCGATAGACTCAGTGACGTGCGAGGTGACAGAAGCAGCGCATTGCTGCACATAGTTGTCCTTCCGCGTCAAGCGGCGGAATTCTTCACGCTGCCGGGCCATGAACACCAAGTCAAGCTTTTTCTGGACAGTGAGGTGGTAGCTGTAGGCGGTCCTCTTCGCCTCGCGAACGGTCTTTCCACTCAAGTCCAATCTCATCTCAAGTTGTTCCACGCGCGCCGAGTCCAACAGCGGAGACTCATACGCCAAAGCAAATGCGCGGCAACCCGGAGGGAAGTGGTCCCCCTCCAGCTTGGCAATGTCAGCCTTCGTTGACTCTGTGCGCTCGTTGACCTTCTGCAGGCTGTCGATGTGGGCCTTCAGGTCATTAGTAGCTTTGCGGATTTTCTTGAGGACGTCCTGCGGGACGTAGCCCTTGAGCTCCGCATCCACAAGGGCCTTCAGCGCAGCAAACTCACTCTGAGGAGCTTGGCGCTCTTCGCCGGCAGGAGAACGAGAACGATCTTGCCGGCCTTCACGTCCCCCTTCTCCTCCTCTCTGATGCTGGTTCCCCCGCCCGGCAATCAACCCAGACGCTGGGGCCAACGAAGGTGGCCGATCGCGCCGGGAAGAAGTCCTCCCTGTACTTTGGAGTTCACCTGCCGGGTTGCTGGGGATCGCAGCGTCATCGCCGGACATGGCTGTTGTGTAAGATGTGAGAAAACAGAACTGGAATGCGGCAACAGTCGCGCGCAGCGATGATTTTTCGTTAGCTCGGGCAGCACTTTGGGTGACACTGCCTGTACCCCCGCTTCCTTAGCGGGTTCGAGCCTCACGCCGATGGATGAATGCATGTGCTCATCTGGCTCTGGTGCCGAGACAGATACAACAGATACAACAGATACAACAGATACAACAGATACAACATATACAACAGATACAACATATACAACAGATACAACAGATACGACAGATACGACAGATACAACATATACAACATATACAACAGATACAACATAAACAATATATACAACATATACAACATATACAACATATACAACACATACAACACATACAACACATACAACACATACAACATATACAACATATACAACATATATAACATATACAACATATACAACATACACAACATATACACCATATTCAGCATATACAACAGATACAACAGATACACCAGATGCAACATATACAACATATACAACATATGCAGCATATACAACATATACAACACATACAACATATACAGTATATACAACATATACAACATATACACATATACAACATATACACCATATACATCAGATACAACATATACAACATATACAACATATACGACATATACAACAGATACACAGATACAATATATATATATAACATATACGACATATACAACATATACACCATATACAACATATACAACATTTACAACATATACAACATATATAACATATACAACAGATACAAGATTTACAACCTATACAACATATAAAGCATATACAACATATACAACATATACAACATATACAACATATACAACCGATATAACATATACAACATATACAACCTATACAACATATACAACATATACAACCGATACAACATATACACCATATACAACAGATACAACATAAACAACATATACAACATATGCAACATATACAACAGACACAACATATACAACATATACCACATATACAACATACACAACATGTCGAGTCACGTTTTGGGTTGTCTCGCTTCTGTTGTTCTCTATGTTGGCCTCGCTGTTGGCCACTCTGGCCCGTACTTGACGGCCAGCTCGCTTTTGTCTCGGTCGGTATTTTCCCATGCACAGTCTGCGCTCGGGTAGCTTACAGTATCACCTATTAGCTGCAAGCCCGTTTGGGCTTGAGCCAAAATGGTTACGGACGTGCTGCATGCACATCCAAGGAAGACGTGTATAACATTACAGCATGCCGCGGTGAGCGCCGAATGGCGCCACCAGACCGGCTTGCGCCGCGGTGAGCGCCACGGGGCGCCACCAGACCGGCCTCGAGACAGACGTGCCGCGGTGAGCGCCACGGGGCGCCACCAGACCGGCTTTGAGACAGACGTGCCGCGGTGAGCGCCACGGGGCGCCACCAGACCGGCCTTGAGGCAGACGTGCCGCGGTGAGCGCCACGGGGCGCCACCAGACCGGCCTTGAGGCAGACGTGGGACGATTCGAGGCTCCCAGGAAAGCAGCAAAAGGCGAGGCCACAGCCCAGGGGCGCGCCCAAGAGAGCGCAAGCCTAATTGGGGAACGCGCTGCGTAGCTGTCCCGGCCGCGTGGCCGATACAGGCGGGCGCAAGCCTAATTGGGGTCAGACTGCACACCGGGGTCCGGCCACCTAGCTGCGGCTCGTTGGCCGCCTTCGTCTGGCTTTCGGAGAAAATAAATCGCACCCTACTTGCATCATCACGTATCCTGGAAAACAAGGATGCCGCCACACAGTCGAAATGCCCAGTGCTTATGAGGACACCTCCGGGGGCTCCGCGGACCTCTCCACAAGTCGTCCCCCTCTGAGCGCGCACGCAGAAGGACGCTTCGAGGCTCGCGCCCGGAGGAAAACTGCAAAGCAGGTGCATCAGGTGACCATGAGCGCCATCTGTCGTAACGCCCTGTGTGCGCTCATTTCTTCAATTCTCAAGCCGCTCCGCTGGCAATGCACAGGTCGTCTATGTAGATAGCCAACCAGTCCGCCGCGTAGCCGTCGAAGACACGTCGCATCACTGCCTGGAAAGCCTGCGGCCCGTCGCATGGCCCAAATGGCAGGGACTCCCACGCGTAGAGACCAGAGAAAGTGCAAATTGCCAAAATCTCCCGTGCCCGCGGCGTCAGAGGAAGGTGATTGAAGCCGCTCACGGCGTCCAGCGAAGAAAGCCACCGTCTGCCAGCACACCGTCGCAATGTATCATCAACCCGCGGGATCGGGTAGTACATGCGACGAGTCACGGCGTTAACACGACGATCGTCGCACACCCGGCGCCCGTTCGGCTTCGACGCCTGTGGGACCACGAAGGCTGGCGTAGACCAGGCGCCAACGTGTCGTGTCAGAAGCCCCATCGCCAAGTTCTTTGATATGTGGGCCTCGCATTTTGCAGTCTCAGCAGGGCTCTTGCGATACGGCTGCTGCGAGATCGGGGCAGCACCGGCCACGTCGACATCATAGGCAGCACCGCTCACTCGCGTGAATGATGCGCCTTCGATCCACAGGGCCTCCCGCCACTCCACACACACCCACACCAAGGCTGCACGATCCTCATCTGATATGTGGGGGTTGGCACGGGCAAGCTACCAAGCCTCGAAAGCGATGATCTCGGCGTACCGTGCTGTCGACCTGGCTGCCGTATCGAAGACAATCTCGTCCGTCTTGATCCTCCGAAGCTCGTCGGCGTCCATGGCCTTCGGCACGACGGACCTCCGGGAGCCGTCGATGAATACATTGGGCACCTCCGGAAACGTGTCCTCCAGAGTCGGCGAAGCAGCGGCTATGTCCTCAGGACGCGCCGGCGGCTCCTCGGCAGCAGGCGCTGCATGAGGACGAAATGTCAAATGCAACGCCTCCGCTGCTCTGCGGGAGCGCGCGTCCAGGCGACTGTCAGACAAACGAGCCTCAGCGCGAAGATCCACGTAGGGAACGTCGGCGCGCACCTCGGTCAGGGTCGGGTCGAACGTCTCCACTCCGTCAGCACGCAGGTAGAGCCGGGCCCACGTGCCGTCTGCTCGCATGCCAAAGCGAGCCAGGGAGACCAAGAGGCGACGAGGGTAGTTCACCCTCACCTCGCCGAGGAAAGCTCCGTCCGAACCCTCGGCCAGCAACAGCACGCCAGGAGTCGCCTTCGACCACCGCCGCCGTGCATCCTCTCGTAGAAGCGGCGCCTCGGCGGACGGCGAATCCTCGTCCAACTGCAGTGGGCGGCAAACGGCCGCCGGCACCAGGGTCAATCGAGAAGTCGCGATGCCGTGCTCTCCAGCCGGCGCGCGCGGAACCAAGGTCTCGCTGTCCAGCTCCGCCAGCACTGCGCGGTGCTCCCCGATCATGCGGATGATGCGGTACGGGCCCTCCATCGCCTCGAGGAGGCCCTTGCTCGGGTCGCCCACGCGCGGCGGCCGCTCGAGCATGACCATGTCGCCCGCGCGGAAGACCTGCCAGCGCGCCTTGCGGTCCCTCGCCACGGCTGCCTTCACCTCGTAGTCGTCCAAGTAGGCCTTAAAGCGGGACGTGATGGCCTTCCAGCCCACGACCATCGAGCGAAGCCACTCGTCCTCGACCATGGCTGCCGGAACCGTGGCCCAAGGGGCCAGCGAGCGCATCGTCGGCAGCGCAGCGGCCCAACCATGAACAAGGCGGAAAGGGGTCACCTGGCTGTCCGCAACCCGGTGATGGCGGAGGTGGTACTGCAGGCACGCCAGAAACTCGCCCCACAGCTGCGGGGAGCTCTTGGCGAGCTCGTGCACCAGCAGCCGCAACGTCGTCGCCATCTGCTGGTGGCTCCTCTCGACGATGCCGTTGATCCTCGGGGTGTAGGCCGGTGTGGCATACGGCCGCATGCGGAGCAGCACCAAGACCTCCTGCATCAAGTCGTTCACGAACTCGCGGCCCCTATCGCTCTGCACGACCCTCGGGAACGTGCCCAACTCCCAGATGATGGATAAGAAGGTTCTGGCCGTGTCCGTCTTGGACTTCGTGTTCTGGCCGCGGAGCGTGGGGTACCGAGTAAAGACGCAGATCAGAGTGAAGACGTATCGCCACCCTTCCTTGCTGCCAGGGCACCACGGCCCCTGCAAGTCGATCTGGACGGTGTCGAATGGGGTCCGCGGATGCTCAGACCGGGTGAGGGCCAACCGACCTGGGCGACGGTCTGAGGCGCAAGTCGGGCAGCGCTCGATGAATCGAGCCAGGTCGTTGGACATCGAACTCCACCATGCCGTCGCCCTCAATTTCACAAGGGCCTCCTCCAGCTTCGCATGGCCGCCGTACTCGCCCGCGTGGGCGGCCAGCATCGCCCAGTTCCTCCACGTCGTTTTCACGGCGGGATCCCGGTGGGGATCGCGCTCCACCTCGGGAATCAACGCTCCTGCCGGAAGTACTGGGACTGCGGCCGGATCTCCAGGGAGCTCCGGAGTCAGCCGTCGAAGCAAAGCACCGTCCTCGCCGATGCAGAACCTGGCAGCCTCCCTCCTCAAGCGGGCCGCATCCTCCTGCGTGAGGCCGTGGGCCCGGAGGTCCACGCTAGGCTTCACGACCTTCTCCGTCTCCCAGCTCAGGTACCGGAGCATTTTGGAGCACTCGGGGTCGAGCTCCTGGGCCGTGACGACGTACGGACGGAGCGGCCCGGCTAGGCGGCCCAATTCTGTGCCATCGACGTGGCCGCGCCTGGCCTCGTCCTCCTCGTCCTCACGCCGCCTCACGCTCGGCTCCGCCTGGTGCTGCATCAGCTCCTCCTCATCCTCCTCATCCTGACGCCTCCTCACGCTCCTCCTCGCCTGGTGCTGCAGCTGTTCCTCCTCATCCTCCTCATCCTGATGCCTCCTCACGCTCATCTCCGCCTGGTGCTGCCTCTGCTCCTCCTCATCCTCCTCGTCCTGATGCCTCCTCACGTTCCTCTCCGCCTCCTGCAGCGTGAGGTCCTCCTCGAAGGCGATGGGCGTGGGCAGAGGTCCTCGGACCTTCAGTGCAGCGAAATCGCGACGGCCTCCTCCGCGCTCCAGCACCGCGCCGTTCGAGAAGCGCGCGGCCAGACAGCGAGCGTCAGAGCGCGAGCTTGCTCCCCGCTGCACCTGGTGCTCAGACCACACGTCGGGGAGTGGCGTCATCTCCGGCACGAGGTCGAAGAGCCTCGACATCAGGCCCGCGCGCAGCACAGCGGCAGCATGCACGAAGAACCACTGCGCAACGCCCTTGGCCGCCGACTCCATCGCCTCGGACTCGAAAGGCTGGACGAAGCGGTGCCGGTAAACCAGCTCGCGGACAGCAGGGTGGCAGGCGAACGCGGCCACAACAGCACCTTGGCCCAACGCTACGACTACGTGGGGTGGCCGGCGGCGCATTTGCCGCAGAAGCTCCAGGACGGCCGTGAAGAGCGAGCGACGCAGCTCCTTGCGCGAGGACGCGCTGTCTGGCCCCCGCGGCTGGCGGAACCAGAAGCCCAAGCCCTCCTCGTCTACCATGGGCGCGTCGGCCTCCACCACGAGCGGCGCGAAGAGATCAGCCTCTTCGGAGCGGGCGGCCACGAGCAGCCTCTCCACCTCCTTCGCGAAGGTGCCGGGCTCGACGGCCTCCCAAGAAGGCACGGCGAGCACCTCCAGGATGTTGCGGAATCCTCCACCTGCTGTGGCAACGAACACCTCCCCAGCCTCCACCTCCTCCAACTCCCAAGGAGACCGGAATAGCGACCATCGGGCGTCCGCAAGCTGTTCGAGAGTCAGGGCGTCCTCGAACTCCGTCTGCTTGAAGTCCGCGGCGAGCTCCGAGGGGTTCTTGAGCAGCCAAGCCCGCCGTGCCAGCAAGGCGTCACGATCCCGGGGGTTCCTGGACAAACCATCGGAAGGGTTCATTTTGCCAGCCAAGAAGCAGACGATGACGCCGCTCTGAAGGATGATGCCCCACCACCGGATCACCTTCTCGCCGCACTCCTCGGGAGGGATCATGGACACGGAGGTGTTGTTTCGGTGGTCCGTCCAAGCCAGGGTCCGATAACCGGCGCAAATCGGGGCGAACTCGAGGACCGCCTCCTTCATCATCCCAAGCTCTCGCTGCCAGGCCGGCCAAGCCTGCTGCGCCGTAGTGAACGACCGGGAACACATAGCAAGAGGTCGCGGCTTGCCGAGCTCGGCGTTCAGCTGGAAGAGCGCCGCGCCTCCGCCCAGGAGCGAAGCATCAAGAACGATCTCGAAGCATCTACCTGTGCGCTCCCAGTCCGCCGCGGCCGCGTAGTCCGGCACGCAGAGGGCGATGAACTCCGCGACGAGCTTCTGGATCATGCGGAAGGAAGCCATCCCCTCCTCATCCAAAGCGCCGTAGTTGTCGTCCACCTCCTTCTTGAGGTACCTGCGGAGTCCCGCGCTCTCCCTCGAAAACGCGGTCGACAAGAATGGCCTCAACCAGTTCACGCTGCCAAAGAACTCCCGTAACTGGCCCTTCGTCGTGGGCGGTGGGAAGTCCATGATGCCCTGGACCTTGGCTGGGTCAGGCTTCTGCCCCTCCCGCCCCGTGATCGTGCCAAGCAGGCGCAGCTCGGGCTGGAGCAGCTGGCACTTCGAGAGTTTAAACGACAGTCCACCGTTGGCCGCCGTCTCGAGGACAGCGGAGAGGCGAACGAGGTGCTCGATGACCGTAGGATCTGCGGCACGAAACGCCGAGCGGAAGTCATGCTCGCGCTGCGCCAAGGCCGAGGCCGAAAGACAGGGCGCTGGGGGCCCAGCGAAGATCACCTCTCCTATCTCCTCATCCTCGACTGTCTCCTCGGCCGCCTCCCTCCACGCCACCTGCAACTCTTCGTCCGCCTCCTCCTCCTCGCCTAGCCTCGCCACGGGCGCGCCTGGCTCGATGTGCAGCGGCGCGTCCTCAGGAGCCCGCGCGAGCACCTCAAGCTCCTCCTCTTCCTGCTCTTCCTCCTCCTCCTCCTCTGCCTCCGCCGCAGCAGCGAAGGCGTCGCAGAAGTCGCACGGCCCTTCCACCACAGACGGCTCACCGCACGGCAAGAGCCAGTTGGGAACACTGCGGCTACTACCGCACAGAGCCGCGAGTGAACGATGAGGAACCGCGACCTTGGCCACCCGCTCCTCGCCGGCAGGCACGTAGACATCCTCCGTGGCCCGGAAGACGTGCTGAACCCCGCGCTGTTCCTCAGCGACCTCCTCGCGGCCGCACGGGCGACCGAGCTCAGCACGAGCACAAGTCAGGCCCAACTTCCGCACGACGTGGTGCTCCAGAGTCGTGTCGATGTGCAACCCCTCTGGCCCCACAGTGCGGGCGCCGAGCAGAGGATAGCCTCCGCAATCGCGCTCGTCTGGGACGACGCGGTACTCGATCGGCACGGTCTTCGAAGAGCCGCGATAGTCGTGGAAGGTGGAAGGTGGTGTAGAGGACGCAGCCGTACTTGATGTCCACCGGCTCCGCGCTACCGAACCCTATCAGCCTGATAGGCGGCCGGTACTCCATCAGCTCCCCAATGGGGTAATCTTTGGAGCCAGGATCGGTGTCGGCGTGCTGCCGGATGATACGCATCACCAGGCTCTCTGGAATCGTCGTCGCCGCCGCGCCTGTGTCCTTGCAGCCCTTGACGCGCACGCCCCCGAAGGAGATCCACAGCTTGTGGTTGCGGCCCGGCTCTGGGCGAGGTCGCGGCCGAATGTTCGCGATGTCCGCGAACCGGCGCAAGGGCGGGGACACGGCCAGCTGCGCCTCGGGCGGCCCGGAGGGCGCGTCGTCGGCAGGGAAGGGGCTCTCCTCTGTCGGTAGGGCCGCCTCGTCCTCCAGCTCGTCGAACGCGCAGCGTTCCTCGGTCGAGCTTCGCTGGGCGACATGGCCTGCAGATGGAGCTGCAGAATCCTTCCGGCCCTCGGGTCGGCCCCAGCTTCCGGGATGCTTCGTCGCGGAATGCACCCGCAGCGCCTGCTACTCCTTCTCGCAGGCTTCGCAACGATGCACTGGCAGGCCTCCTCCCCCTTTACCTCCACCAGCTGTTGGGCTGGGCGGCGGAGCCGGGAAATGAGGATGTCGCCGATCAGCCGGTCCGTGTTGAAACCGGCACCTGTCGCCGAACTTGCAGGTCCCGTCCTTCTGCCAGTTCCAACATGATCCTCCTCCTCCCTTGCCCCCTCCCTTGGCCGCGGCGTCCCTGGCAGTCTCGGCGGCGAACTCCTCCTCGAGCCCCAGGTCCCGATAGTCCTCCTCCTCGCAGAGACCGACTCCAGGAAGCCGATGGTCAAGAGCAGTATGCCCCTTGCCCAAGCAAATGGCGCACTCCTTCGTCGGATCCGCTCCGCCCCGACGCTTACCGCTGGGACAGCCTCGACGTAAGTGTCCAACTCCACCACACATGTCACACGTGCTGGCACGCCCTGGCTGCAGTCGTCGCGAGCCTTCTCCTCCTGCTGCTGCTCCTCCTCCTCCTCCTCCTCCTCCTTGGGGGTTCGAGCGGAAGCCGTGGCTCGGTTGCCCCAGCCGGCCGCCGAACCGTGCCTCGCGGTTGACCTCAATCTTCTCCGCGGCAAAGACCACGCGCTTCGTGTCCTGCACGGCGAAGAACGACCGGGCCATCTCCATAGCGGCCTCCAGATCCCGCACCAAGCCAACATTCCCTGTACGAGCGTCCGTGTACGGGGTCAGCATAATATGGGTAGCGCACTCCTCCGTCAGCTTCTCGATGAAGTCCACCTTCACCTCCTCGCGGGCCTTTGCCAGGCCACTCCGCTCCAGATTCTTCAAGCAGCGCTTGAAGTCGGTCTGGAAGGCCATGTACTCCCGGATCTCCCCGTTCCTCATCGAACAGGCGTTGTACTCAGCACGAGCCCGCCGCTGGCGTTCCAGAAGAGGTCGATGAAAAGAACGCTTAAGATAAGCCTCAACCTCCTGCCACAAATCCTCACGCGCGGAATCCGTGCCCCTCTCGAGCGTCGCGTTGCGCAGCTCGTTGTCGTCGACGAACGTCTTGAAGTCCAAGAGCGGCACGCCGGAGAGTCCGCCTCGAAGCATCTCCAACTTCTCCTGGGCTGGGTAACCCTTCCCAGCGGAGGCCAGCATCATGACGCGCTTGAGGTCCTTGAAAAACTCCTCCACGTCGTAGTAGATGTCCGTGGCGTCGTACTTCGGCCACTCGACCTCCGCCTTAACCCTGATGTTCGTGCGTCCGGCGCTCCCTGAACCTGCTGCCGGCGCCGGTGGAGGAGCAGCCGGAGGCCTCGTCCTCAGCATCTCCTCGAGCGCCTCCACGCGCCCTCGAAGGTAAGCGCGGTCGAACTCCAGCGCACGCCGACCTCGCAGCGATGCTCGGGGGTGAGCCATCTCTTCTTCCTCCTCATCCTCATCCTCGTCTTCGTACTCGTCGAAGCCTGATGGAGGATCCCCGCCGCCGCCTCCTCCTCCTCCTCCGTTGCCGCCATCTCTCGGCGGCCCTCGCCGGAAGGGCATTCCTCCGCGACCAGCGCCATCGTCCTGTCCACGACGCTCTCGCTGTCCTCCAGGCGACGGTGCACCTCCTCCAGGCGGCGGTGCACCTCCACCGCCTCCACCTGGAAACCCACGGCGGTCTCCAGTGCGCTCATCGCTGACGGACCCCCGCCGCCCCTCGCAGGCGGGGACCAACGCTCCCCTCTCTCCCTCTCCGCTGCGGCCGCTCCCTGCCAACCTCCCTTGGCTCCTCGCTCTCCCGCAGCACCCTGATACCCTCCTCGTGCAGGGCCCTCTGCACGAAACCTCGGCTGGTGGTCGAGAACCTCTGTGGAAGCACCTCCGGCCTCCGCACTGCGCCCGAGGGACGTCCACCACGTCCAACCTGCTCCTCGCACGGCCGCCCTCCTTCCTCCTGGAGTCCAGCGGGCCCTCGTGCCCTCTCCTGCAGGCCGTGGCCACTCCTCGCCTCATTGCGCTCCTCATCCTGAGCCCTTGCGGCACGCGTGCCGCGAGCAGGACGCGCGCCTGGCGCCGCCGAGGGGCCAACGTCCTCTGCCCCGTCGACACCTCCTGCTCGTCCTCCTCCTCATCCTCATGAGCAGCACGGCGTCCGAGCTGAGGACTTCCTCCTGAGGTCTCCTCCTGCTGACCTCTACCTCCTCTTCCTCCTCCGCGCCCTGCCCGGCGGACCTCCTCCCGGCCCTCGCCGGCATTCCTCTGGCGAGGATGCCGCGGCGCCGCGCCGAGTCCCGGCGGGCCGGCGCCCTCGCTCCGCTGCGGCTCGTCGATCGGCTCGGCCGTGCCACCGTCGAGCGTCGATCCAGAGACATAGGCGCCGGGGCCTCCTCGCCCGCCGCGCGGTGGAGACCAAGGGTCGCCCAGCCCTGCCACGGATCTGGCAGCTCAGGATCTTCCCAGGGAGGCGTCGGCCGTAGGGCGCGCGGACGCGCGCCAGGGGCGCTCGCCGAAGCCGACTCCACCGGCCCACGGGGAGGCGTCGTGAATTCCTCGGCCTCCTCCTGGTCCTCAGCGCCTCCTTCCTGCTCCTCTGCACTGCCGTCCTGATCCTCCTCTGGGCCCTCACGCTCCTCTCCTCTGCCATCCTGCTCCTCCCTGCTCCCCTCCTCTGGCATCGGCGGCAAGGCGGCGTGCTCAGTGCCAGCCAGGATCTCCGCGGTCTCCTCCTGCCGCGGCCGGGCCAGCTCCACTCCAGCGACGATGCCCCGGGAGACGGCGCCAGCCGCGCGAACCGCAGTGGCTGCGGTCGCCCCAGCAGCAGCCCCAACAACAAAAGCACTGCTGGCGACGACGCCAGCTGTCGTCGATAGGGCCTGGGAAGCCATGCCAGAACGACGCTGGGATGCTACCTCGCCTTGCACGCGCTCCGCCCAGAGGAGCTCCTCGAGTCGCTGCAGGCACTCACTGCAGTACAGCTCCTGCGTGGGTCCGTAGGCGTCCTGGCCACGGTGCCCACACGCAGCGTGGACCGGCTCGCCGCACCTGTTGCAGTTCGTGTACAGCTCCGCGCCGATGTACTCCGAACACTCGACGCAGACGAGCGCCGGCAGCTGCCCGTGGGACCCGGCGCCACGAGCGCCACGAACTGGCCGGAGCTGGCCGCGCGGCTCCACCCAGGCGCCAGAAGCCCACGCCGACCCGTGGGCCACCAGCTGACCCTCTTCATACCCACTCGGTACGACTTCCTGTGCAGCAGCTGCTGCTGCTGCCGCCTGGCGGTCCTGCTCCCTGCGAGCCGCCAGAGTCGCCCTCGCCTTGGCGGTCTGCGCCCGCCTCTGTTCCAATGTCCGTGTGCTCATCGTGCCGTGGCAAAGAATCAATCTGGCCCCGGCTGGTTCCCGGAGCAGCCCCCACTTGTTGAGTCACGTTTTGGGTTGTCTCGCTTATGTTGTTCTCTATGTTGGCCTCGCTGTTGGCCACTCTGGCCCGTACTTGACGGCCAGCTCGCTTTTGTCTCGGTCGGTATTTTCCCATGCACAGTCTGCGCTCGGGTAGCTTACAGTATCACCTATTAGCTGCAAGCCCGTTTGGGCTTGAGCCAAAATGGTTACGGACGTGCTGCATGCACATCCAAGGAAGACGTGTATAACATTACAGCATGCCGCGGTGAGCGCCGAATGGCGCCACCAGACCGGCTTGCGCCGCGGTGAGCGCCGAATGGCGCCACCAGACCGGCCTCGAGACAGACGTGCCGCGGTGAGCGCCACGGGCGCCACCAGACCGGCCTTGAGACAGACGTGCCGCGGTGAGCGCCACGGGGCGCCACCAGACCAGCCTTGAGGCAGACGTGCCGCGGTGAGCGCCACGGGGCGCCACCAGACCGGCCTTGAGGCAGACGTGGGACGATTCGAGGCTCCCAGGAAAGCAGCAAAAGGCGAGGCCACAGCCCAGGGGCGCGCCCAAGAGAGCGCAAGCCTAATTGGGGAACGCGCTGCGTAGCTGTCCCGGCCGCGTGGCCGATACAGGCGGGCGCAAGCCTAATTGGGGTCAGACTGCACACCGGGGTCCGGCCACCTAGCTGCGGCTCGTTGGCCGCCTTCGTCTGGCTTTCGGAGAAAATAAATCGCACCCTACTTGCATCATCACGTATCCTGGAAAACAAGTATGCCGCCACACAGTCGAAATGCCCAGTGCTTATGAGGACACCTCCGGGGGCTCCGCGGACCTCTTCACAAACATAACCAACAGATACAACATATACAACGTATACAGCATATACAACATATACAACATATACACCATATACAACATATACAACATATATAATATATACAACATATACAACATATACAACATATACAACATATACAACATTACAACATATACAACATACACAATATAGACAACATATACAACATATACAACATACACAACATATACAACATACACAACATATACAACATATACAACATATACACCATACACAACACATACAACATATACAACACATACAACATACACAACATATACAACCTATACAACATACACAAAGCATACAACATATACAGCAGATACAACAGCTACAACATATACAGCATATACAACATATACATCAGATACAATATATACAACATATACAACTGATACAACAGATACAACAGATACATCATATACAACATATACAACATATACAACATATACGACATATACAACATATACAACATATACAACATATGCAACGGACACAACATATACAACATATACAACATATACAGCAGATAAAACATATACAACATATACAACATATACAACATATACAACAGATACAACGGAGGAGGAGGAGGAGGAGGAGGAGGAGGAGGAGGAAGAGCAGGAGGGTGGGGGAAGGGGGATTATCGGATAGCAGAGGAGGGGTTACCGAATCGGCTTAAGCAGCGGGTTTTCCCGGCTCCTCCCGGCGCCGGAGGCGCCCCAGGCAACGAGGAAGGCGTCGGGCAGCGGGGCCGAAGCCGGTTGCATGCACTGGTCCCTCCAGGTGTGCTTGGGTGACCAGCGGGCGGGCGATTGCACCCAGATGCGCGTCGTCTTGGCGACGGAGATGACGACGGAGCCCTTCGGGTCCTTCGAGTTCGACGGCGTGCTCGGCCTGGGCCTCGAGGGGCTGGCCGTGGACCCGGAGTTCAGCTTCTTCGGCCATCGAGGAAGAAAAAACGGCATCACCATGAATGTTCGGCGCTCCGCGCGGATTTCTTGGATCTGCGCTGGGGCCCCCTGGCGGCACCTTCGGCGCCGCCCCTGGCGCGCTCCGCGCGCCAGGGAGGGGGGTCCAGCGCAGATCCAAGAAATCCGCGCGGAGCGCCCAAAGTCTATGTTTATGGCGTTTTCCTTTTTCTTCTAGGCCAGATGTTCAAGCTCCACAACCTCACGGACGCCAGCTTCGGCTACTTCCTGTCGCGTGCCGACGGCGTGCCCAGCGAGATCACCTTCGGGGGCCACGACGAGCGCAGAATGGCCTCGGCCCTGCAGTGGGCCCCCGTGCACCGGCCCGAGTTTGGGCACTGGCAGGCGAGAGCGGCGCAAGAAATCGGGGCCGGCTCTGCCTGCACTCAGGGTCCATGTCGGTCCGATCGATCCAATTCGATGTCGATTCCGTCCAGCCCGATCCGATGCGGTTCCGATATTCCGACGATCTGGTCTGGCCCGAGGTTTGCATGGCGTCGTTGCGCATCCTGGCGCAGCCGATTCGACTCGATGCACGTCCCGATCCGAGACGATTTCCCGATTTGATGCTGACCGCTCCTTGCATTCGCCCGTGGGCTCCCCGCGCCGGGTCGAGCGCAAGAGCCCTCTCTCTCTTCCACGCGGTGTGCTGTGTGCTGCGCCGCGCGAGCGGCTTGCGCAGGCCACCTCGCAATGTCGCCGTGCTCTCTGGCATACAGCTGTCAGGAGGGTTGAGGCCAAGCCGAACGTTGGAGGGATATCCTTACGTACACTGGCCTGGAGAAGTAATGCAACTTTCATCGTCGATGTGTTTGGTTTCGCCGCTTCTGGGTTTTCGCTTACTTTAGCCTTTTGAGGGACCAGAGGAAAAACTACCCGCAGGGAGGTCCCCCGGACGATTCTTCGACACGACCTGAAAAAGTGGCATTATGATTCCAGGGGGGTGCAGGGTCTCAGCATCGTTCAACCGATCCCTGTCCCCATGCCCATCCCTATCTAGACCCGCGCCATCTCAGCACCCCGGTTGTGGATATACCCCTCGAAGCCCGAAGAAAACAGCCCATATCTCCACCTAGGTGGGTTAATCGGCCAGAGGGGCCCAGGCCACGCCCATGGAGAGAGGGGTCGGTTGAACGATGCTCAAGTTTTTCGAGGCTTGCGCTCTCCGCCGTGGAACCCTCTTCGCCCGGGGAGTTCGCCATGGGACTTGGGGCCGTCGGCTCCAGGGGCTGCTGCTCTTGATCCACGTCCTCGCTCCTCCTTCTCCTCCCTCCTCCTCGCTCCTCCTCGCTCCTCCTCGCTCCTCCTCGCTCCTCGCTCCTCCTCCTCCTCCTCCTCCTCCTCCTCCTCCTCCTCCTCCTCCTCCTCCTCCTCCTCCTCCTCCTCCTTGTCGCACTCCGAGGCCAGTTTTTAGGGCGGCTGGGCGTTTCGCCTGAGACTTCCTCAACGCTTACGACCCTGAAGCTCAAAAGTTGGCAACAGCCTCGCATATGGAGAGCGGGTGGCTTTTTAAATGTGGCGCTCACGTTAGCGCCGCGCATATTCTTCTGAAAAATATGCAAGTGTTTCACGGATTAAGGGCGGGCCGCTTCAAAATGTGGTTATCGCCTTAGCGCCGCGCATCTTCGTTTGAAGACATTGCAAGAGTTCCACGGATTGAGAGCGGTTATGTTTCAAAAGTTGGTTGTCGCGTCAGCGCCGCGCACATTCGATTTTTGAATGTGCAAGAGCTTCACGAATTGAGGGCGGGTCGGGTTCAAAATGTGGTCATCGCCTTGGCGCCGCGCATCTTCTTTTTCAGTCATTGCAAGTGCTTCACGGATTGAGGGCGGTTCCTGCTCAAAATGTGGTTCCTCGCCTTAACGCCGCGCACATTGTTTTTGGAGTGTGCAAGAGTTCCACGTATTCCCATGATACGATCAGGATTATGAGGGCGCAGCAGTTACGTTGATTTGCGGTGTTGAAGTCCCAGGAATGGTTTTCTGGCACGATTAAGGGTCGTCAAGACGCAACAGTCAGGTTGATACGTGGCGTCAGAGTCCAGAGAATAATGTTTTTGCATGCATCCGGATCGTCAAACAGTTGTCTTCCAACGAGGCAGTTCCCTCAGTGGAAGTGAACCGTTGTGGGGGCCTATGAAGGGGGAGCTTGGAAGGAGGGTTTACAGTCGGGGCGCTGGACAAGGAACCCTTTTCGTTGGGGAGGGGCTCGGTGTTCCCTGATTGTTGGGGAGTCGCCAATTGCGCGCTCTTCCGCCCACGCGTCCTACCGGATGCACGGCTTAGTGGTGGTTTGGGTTTTCCTTAGGTTTTCCATGGGGAATCGAAGTTTAATTCTTGACGCTTCGCGTATCCCCACCAGCCCATCCTACACCAGGCACTCGAACGAAGAGCGCCGATGATCGGCAGCTGTTCTTCTCCCCCTCTTCCTCCTTCCCCTCCGCCTTCTTCCTCCTCCTCCTCTCCTCCTCCCTCTCCTCCTCCTCTTCCTCCTCCTCCTCCTCCTCCTCCTCTTCCTCCGCCTCTTCCTCCTCCCTGGTGGCGTCTTGGAGGTATCTTCGAACGGTTTGGTGGGCTCTTGGGCCTTGCGGGCGGGCGGGCGGCGCTCCGCCCGCCCGCGCGCAGGGCCCAAGAGGAGAGTCCAAGACGTCTCTTGGAGCCATTTAGGAGGAGATCGATCAACGAAGGAGGGTCCCTCAACTAGGGTCGCTCCCCAGGAGCTCCAAAATCGTCTCCTGGACCCCTCTTGGATCGCTCTTGGAGCGCTCGTGGCCGCTCTTGGAGCCGTCCTGAGGCTCTCTTGGGCCCCTCTTGGAGCTATCTTGAGCCATCTGGGAGCCATCTTGACGCCTCGGATGTGCATCGCAAGCGAAAAAGTGAGAACACCAAAAACATTGATTTTCCTTAGGGTTTTGAAGCATTTTGGCCTCTTGGATGCATCCTAATGATGCTCTTGTGGGCATTTGGAACCGTCTTGGGGAGTTCTTGGAGCGTCTTGGAACATCATGGGGACCATCTTGAGGCATCTTGCGCTATCTTGAGCCATCTTGGAGGTCATCTTGAGCTCCCTGAGGCCCTCTTGGAGCCGTGTTGGGCCATCTTGGACGCTCTAACTACCCGCGGCCCCCCCTGTCCAGGTCAGTGGGGAGGGGGTGGGGGGAGGGGTAAACCCCTCCCCGAAGGGGAAGAAGGAGGGGTGGAAGAGGAAACGCTCTAAACCACCGACGCCCAGAGGGCTGGTGGGACTTATGGGAAAAGGGGGCCTCGTTCCTTATTTAGGGTTCCTTAGGTCAAGGCCCCGACTGTATTCCAACATCGTTGATGCCTCTTGGGTTTACACTCGTCGTCGTCCTCCTCATCATCATCTTCATCCTCCTCCTAATCATCATCCTCCTCCTCCTCTCCTTCCTCGTCCTCCTCGCTCCTCCTCCCTCCTCCTCCCTCCTCCTCGCTCCTCCTCGCTCCTCGCTCCTCCTCGCTCCTCCTCCTCCTCCTCCTCCTCCTCCTCCTCCTCTCGCTCCTCCTCGCTCCTCCTCCTCCTCCTCCTCCTCTTCCTCCTCATCCTCCGCTGGGACCAATCGGGCTGGACTTCCCGGTTTAACCCGGCGGGGACGCGGGATCCCAAAATCATCTGGAATTTAGCGGACGAACTTTCGCGCAGTCTCGGCTGCAGAGGCAGACTTGGAGAGGCTTGCCCCTGAGAGCTTGTGATACTGGGGACTATCCTCCTCCAACGGGCGTGTCATCATCATCATCATCATCATCATCATCATCATCATCATCATCATCATCATCATCATCATCATCATCATCATCATCATCATCATCATCATCATCATCATCATTCATCCTCCTCCTCCTCCTCCTCCTCCCTCCTCCCTCCCTCCACCTCCACCTCCACCCCCCTCCTCTCCTCCTCCTCCTCCTCCTCCTCCTCCTCCTCCTCCTCCTGCTCCTCCTCCTCTCCTTCCTGTTCCTCCCGCCTCCTCCTGCTCCTGCTCCTCCTCCTCCTCCTCCTCCTCCTCCTCCTCCCAAGTCCCCTCGACCCGTGATAAGCAGCTCCGAAAGATTGCCAAGGCCGCCAAAGGCCTCCACCCGTCCACAGGCGAAGGCTTGATGGAGGTGGGTGCAGCACCGCTCGACCCAGTGCCTGGCCTGCCGTCGATGCCCCTCCGAATGGAGGAGGCCGATCTCGGGAGGTTGGAGGCTCGGGTGGAGCGGGCGGCGGACGGGATTTCGGATGATGATTAAATTTCTGGCCTCGGCGACAACTGCGGTGTTTCCGTGGTCTTTGCCGTGTTGCCTGCTGCTGCCCCCTGGCGGCAGTATCTCCCACCTTTAGCCTGTGGGCGTCCGTTACCCTGCGGACGCCTTCCAGTCTGCGCCAACCTCCTCTTCCTCCTCCTCCTCCTCCTCCTCCTCCTCCTCCTCCTCCTCCTCCTCCACCCCTGGAGTGGTCTCATCCATCCCTGGGCTGACGTGGGGTTGCTGTCGGTCGCCGGCCTGGGCCCCGCGGCTCTCTACTAAAGGGGCTGTGCCCGCAGTTCCAATATGCCACCTCGCTGGGAGGTCACCAACCAACCAACCAAACCCTCTCCTCCTCCTCCTCCTCCTCCTCCTCCTCCTCCTCCTCCGCCTCCTCCCTCCTCCTCTGTTCCTCCTCATTCTCCTCCTCCTCCTCCTCTTCTCGCTCCTCCTCCTCCTCCTCCTCCTCCTCCTCCTCCTCCTTCTCTGACTCCTCCTCCTCCTTCTCCTTCTCCTCCTCCTCATCCTCCTCCACCTCCTCCACCTCCTCCTCCTCCTCCTCGTCCACCTCCTTCTCCTCCCCTTGCTGTAGGGTTCGTTGCTCTGCGCCGCCCAGGTGCGGATACGCAGCGTGACGGCTGGCAACGAGACCCTAGCGCTGTGCGAGGCGGGCGACTGCGTGGCGGTCGCCGACACGGGCACCTCCCTCCTGGGAGTGCCCCGGCAGGCGTCGCAGCGGCTCCACTGGCTGCTCGCGCGACAGGTGCCCGACAACCCCGACGAGATCGACTGCCGCCGCTTCCCAGGCTCCGAGAAGCACAGACTACAAGCACAAACGTTCGGAGCTCCGCGCGGATATCTTGGGTCGGTGCTGGGGACCCCCTGGGGGCGTCTCCCGCGCCGCCCCTGGCGCGCTGGGCGCGCCTGGGATGGGGGTCCAGCGCGGATCCAAGGAACCCACGCGGAGCTCCGAAAGTTGATGTTCACGCCGCTCCTTGTTCCACTACAGGCCCCGACCTCACCTTCGACCTGGGAGACGGCGTCAAGCTGACGCTCGGCCCCGAGGACCGGAGGACAAAAGTCAGAGGAGGGCGAGTTGACGCAGTGGCAGTTGGCCGTCGGCGGGGCCCCTCAGCGCCACGACTGGACGCAGCTCCGGGGGTCCATGAGACCTCCTGCGGGGCGCCCTCGTCGCCACGGCCGGGTCCGCCCCAGAAAATCCGCGTCCAAACGCAACCCTGGAAAAGTCCAGAGAGTAGCGGCATCGACTTCTGGTGGCTCCTCCAGAGGACTACTCGCGGCCGACGGCGATGCGCGTGGTGCAGAACAAGACGGGCGGGTCCCAAGTCATCTGCAGGGCCTCCCTGCTCCCCGTCGACGGGGACGCCGAGGTGCGGCCGCGCGTGGCAGTCGCTGGAGTGACCTTCGGTGCGTGGCCTTCGGGTGTGGCGGGCTCCCGGCCTCCCAGATGGGGTCGGAGGATCACGCCGCATCGCCGATGCACCGGCGATGCGGCTCGATGTGGAGCCCGATTGTCTCCACGCCGAGAGCGCCGATGCAGCGCCGATGCATCGCCGATGCATCGCCGATGCATCGCCGATGCATCGGCGATGCATCGGCGACGTCGGCTCGATCTTCCGATCCCATCTGCTCGGACCAGGGTCGGGGGTGTCCCTGGCCCAAGGTGTCCCAACCTCTTCATGCCGCTTCGGTGCCGCTGGGGCTTTCTGGCCCTCGCGAGTGGTGCTCTGGAACGCCTCGGAAATCTTGGGAACACCTTGGGCCAGGGGCAACTTTGACAACACCCGCCCGAGGGCGGCAAGCCCAAGCGCGCAGGCCGCCACTGCGCGGTGCCCGCCGCGCACCCGAGGTCACCTGCCTGGGGCCGCTCGCGCGTGTCGCCGGGAGGTGCTGGGCCCGAAGGCCTGGATCCTCGGCGAGCCGCTCCTGCGCAAGTACTACACGGTGTACGACTACCGCCGGCAGCGCGTCGGCTTCTCCCTGGCCGAGCAGCCGGACGAGCAGACGGCAGCCGCCGCCGAGGGAGCGCGCCGGCACACGGTGTACGGCGCACCGCCGGCAGCGCCGCCGACGCCGTCGGTGGTCGTAGTGTAGAGGGTGGTGGAGAGACGCCGCCCGCTGGGGACGTCGCGCGCCCTCTCCTCCCCAGAGACGCGCAGAGTGGGGCGGGGGGGAGGGGGGGAGGCCTCTTGGAAGCACCCCTGCTTCTTAGAAGTCGCGAGCCTTGTCTGCCGATGTGAGGCCCGGGCCTTCGGAGGAGCAGACTCCTGCTAAGGAGCCTTCCCCCCTTCCCCCTGTCCCCTCGTGCGCGCCGCCAACTCTCCCTCCCCTGCCTCTGCTCAGCATCAAGGAGACGCGTCCCGGAGGACTCCCGTATCCTCTCCCGTATGTTCTCCCGCATGCTCTCCCGTGCGCTCTCCTCTATCCTTGATTGTATGCTTGCAGTTGTGCTCTCCTCTATGGTTTACCGCATGCTCTCCCGTGTATTCTCCCGTATGTGTTCCCGTGTGGTCTCCCGTATGTTCTCCCGCAGTCTCCCCCGTACGCAGTCGCATGTCGTCATGTTCCGCAGGCCGCCCCCTTGTGTTATCCCGTATCGTCTCCCGCATTCCCCGATGTTCAGTATCGTATAGTGCTCTTCCTGGTTCCCCAACCCGCGCTTATATGCTTAGAGGCTCTCACCTTCCCCTCTGAGGAACTGCGAGGGTCCGCCCCGTGGGCGCCCCGTGGACGCTCCGTGCCCCGGGTGGGCCCGCCGAGGCCTCGCCCCGCGGCTGCCCTTCGGCGCCTCGTGAGCGCTCGTGGGCGTCCCGTGCCCAGGCGCCTACACTCAAGTCGGGCCTGTCCATCTACAGGGGGGATGTTCCAAGTAGTCAAAAAATAGTGTGGGGACGATTGTTCTACCAGTTTTGATAATTTTGGAATATGGTTTGACTACCGTATTTGTTTGTTTGTCCTCCTAAATCCGCCTGCAGGGGGACATGCCCGACCCAAGCCTACACCACAGAACTTGCAAAGCATCGCCTGCACCACATGGCTCATACCACAGAGTAGGTCACACCGCATAGCTTGCCCGGCCTTGCTTGCACCACGCAGCTCACACCAATAGAATTCACATCGCCCAGCTTACCCAGCATAGCTTGCCTACTTCGCACAGCTTATACAACATAGCTAGCACCACGTAGCTTACTCCGCAGAGCTTCCACCTCCACAGTGCACTCACTTACTGCTTGGGGTCCGTGGTGGCTCTTATACTTCATACATGCACCCCTGCCAGCCCGTCCAAAGGCAATCACCAGGCGAGTTGCCCTGATAAGGGATGTGTAGCAGCATGCAGCAGTCACCATCTGGGAGCCTCTTGGAGGAATGTTTGGGCCATCGTGGGCGCCTATCGGGGTCCTCGTGGAGCCATTTGGGGAGCTTCTGGGGCTCTCTTGGCACCCTCGTCGAGCCCTCTTGTGGCTCTTTTGCGGGCCGTCTTGGAGGCCTTTGAGGCCCTCCTGGGACATTCTGGGAGGCCATGGATCAAAAAAGAGTCTGGCGTGAAGTTGCCCCCCACCCCCCCGTCGGATACCAACGAAACCCCTCTTGGGGCGATTTGGGGCGCTCTTGTGGCCGTTTTGGAGCTCTCTCGGACCCCACTTGAGACTCTCTTGGGCGATTTCGGAGCCATCATGAGTCCTCAAGAGCCAATCGGAAGCGGAAAGGCCAGAAGGCACACCACTTGGATTTCCCGTTGGTTTGGGGAGGATGTTGGCCTCGGGGGTCCTTCGGAGGCTCCGTGGCCACCCGATGTGGTCTTATATCATCGCGCTCTTGAGGCCTGCTGGAGGCATGTTGGAAGCTGTTCTGAACCATCTTGGGCTAGCTTGTGCATTCGTGGAGGCCATCTCGGGCTATCTGGGGCCCTCTTGTGGCCATCTCGGGCCATCCTAGACCCTCCAACGACCAAAGAAACGCCCCCTCCAGACCCAGGGAGAGGGGGCAGGGGGAGAGCCGAAGGGAAATATGAGTTTGGAAGAATTGCCACGCAAAACCACCTACGCCCAAAGGGCTCGTGAGACTTTGTCCTCAGGGCCTTCATTCACCGACCCCCACAAGGAGAGAGTGTTTGAGAAGATCGTGGAAGGTACATCTTGGGTCAGGAGCCTCCTGGATGAATCGCATCTTTTGGAGAACTCCTGGGGGCAAGTGGGAGGCTCTGGGGGGCCTCGTGGGGCCTTCTGCCGCCAGGCTGCAGTCTTTACACTCGGGGGGCGCTCTGCGGCCCCTCGGCCCGGGCGCAGCTCGAAGAACGGGCCGGCGTGGGCCCCTGCAGGGGGCCAGGGCCCGATGTTTGGCGGCTGCTTCGGGTGTTGCCAGAAGTGTCCCCTGGCCTCAGGAGGCCCCCAGGACTCCCAAGGAGGCCCCACCGGCCTCCAGAGCACCCCACCACGAGGCCCTGAGGGGCCTCCCATAGAGCTCCAGAGTGGAGCGAGAAGCTGGAGGCGCCTTGGGACAGGGGCGCCTTTCCGGTAACCCACGAATGTTGGTCACTTCCCGGCGGCGCGCCGAGGATGGAAGTGAGAGTGGTTGGGCCTTCTCAGAAGGCGCCTGACGGTGCACCCAGCCTAGGAACGCGCGGACTCGCTATCGGGGGCTTCCTCGCCGGTCTATCGGCAGTTCCAGGTCGATGTTTCCCTCCCTGAGCCAAGCCCCCCCAAGTGGAAGTGAGAGGAACTGGGCTTTCACAGAAGGCGCCCGGTAGCCCACCCCGCCCAGGAACGTGCGGACTCGCTGTCGTGGGCTTATCGCCGGTCCATCAGCAACTCCTCCCCCTCCTCCCCCTCCTCCTCCTCCTCCTCCTCCTCCTCCTCCTCCTCCTCCTCCTCCTCCTCCTCCAGGTCGATGTTCTCCTCCCTGAGAGGGGCCAGGCCTTCTCAGAAGGCGCCCGATAGCCCACCCCGCCCAGGAGCGTGCGGAGGCGCTATCAGGGGCTTATCGCCAGTCTAGCGGCAGTTCCAGGTCGAGGTTTCCCTCCCTGAGCTCATCCCTCCCTCCTATCTCAGGAGGGGGAAAAAATGAATCGTCGACTCCCAGGAAAATGCGGGAAAATGTTGGAAATGGGGGGGAAGACGAAACCTTGAAATAATTTGAAAATCTGATGAATCCTGGGATTTGCGCGCATTTATGTCTGTGCCCCTGGACCTCCTTAATATCGCCCTCATCCGAGAGCGGAGATCGTTCGAGGCTGCTTCAAATCCACACCGTAGAACCCCTCTACCCCATTAACGCCTGCACCCCACATCTAGCAACACTCCAGACCCATCTTGTACCCCCAGCCCCACCCGCACGTCAAACAAAAAAACCTGCCAACACTCTTACCCCATCCCCTTCGTTCTACTGCTCAGTGTCTGCCTTCGTGTCCGTGCCAACGTTGCCATTGTCGGTGTTGCTCCTGTCGTTGTTGATGGTGGCTCTCTCGCGACTTCTTCGGCCATTCTAGGCTCTGGATCAAGGACGGTTACCCTCAGCGCCCGGAAAGCATGATGAAGCCAAGTTGCAGGGCATTGTGCTTTTGCATGAGGGGGTCGTCCATGGTTGGGCTGCTCTTGTTATTGCAGCCGCTGGGGATTGTGGCACAAGAGATGCCACCCAGGAGAGGGGGCGGTGTCATACATATCTCCCCAGGGTGCTTGCCCAGAGATGATCAGCACGTAGACTTGTGGTGCCCGGGAGCGGCTGGCTACGAGTGTTACAAGATCCCAACGTTGTTGCGCATCCCGAACACTACACATTTACTCGCCTTTATTGAAGCAAGGAAGCATTCTTGCGACGACCACGGGTACGTCGACCTGCTCCTGAGGCGCTCCAGCGACAATGGGAAGAGCTGGTCCCCCGCGACGATGATCTACAGCAACAGCAGCGAGACTGAGTGGCACACCATCGGAGATGCTCTCCCCGTCTTCGACTCGTGGGATGGATCCGTCCACCTGGTCTTCACCCGCGACAATCGGGAGGCCCTGCTGTCGCGCAGCGTGGACCAGGGAGCGACGTGGAGCGAGCCGCGCGACATCTCCCGATCCCTGGTGCGCCGGCCGGGCAGCTTCCTGGGCACGGGCCACGACCACGGCCTGCAGCTGAGGTCGGGGCGGCTGCTGGTCCCCATGTACGGGGGCGGCACGGGGCCCTTCGTGGCGTGCTCCGACGACCACGGCGCCTCCTGGCACATCGCTGGCCAGGTGCCCACCTCCCCGACCGAGTGGGTCATGGCCGAGGCCCGCGAGCGCGGCGGAAGCGAGCTTGTTGCCAGCCTCCGCTCCGAGCTGGGCCGGCTGATGTCGTGGTCCAGCGACGGGGGCGACACCTGGACGCCTCCGAAGCGCGCCCCCGGCCTGCCGGAGCCAGTGGGCGGCTGCGAGGGTGCCATGTTCCTCCACCCGGACGGCAGGTCTGGAAGGATAGACAAATTCGTATAAACAGGGAGGGCGTTCGTGAAGGAGTGTGCCCAGGAGGCTTCAAATCCTGGAGGATTCCGTATCTGATGAGGGCGGTGGTGTTTTCCATGGCCAAGTCCCAATTGGTGTTCAACCGGCTTCCCTGGGTGCCTTATATCCAGGGTTCCTTATCCAATGCCCTCGCCTTATTCGGAGGTCCGCGCGGATTTCTTGGACCGGTGCTTGGGGTGCCCCTGGCAGCGCCGCCCTTGTTGCGCTCCGCGCGCTCGCGTGGGTGGTCGAGTGCCGATCCAAGAACTCCGCGCGCGGGCCTCCGCAAGTTCATGTTCATGCCGTCGCTTGTCCCTCCAAGGCTGTACTATTCACACCCGGACCGGCACCTGCTCCGCGAGGTCATGATTAGTTCGGGCATGTCCCCCTACAGGCAGATTTTGGAGGAGAAATGGACATATGCTAAAATGGTAGAAGAGTCTAACTCATACAAAAATCGGCCCGATCTTTGTTCCCAGCCCTCCTATGGTTGGGTACTCGTTTTGAGTAGAGCAGTGTGGTCGCCCCGCCCTCCTTCTCCTCTTCCCCCCTCCTCCCCTCCTCCTCTCCTGTTTCCTCTGTTCCCCTCTCCTCTTCTCTCGTGCCGTCGGGCTGCGATCTGCGCAGCAGTCGCCACTTTCGTGGGCTCCTGGGAGGCCCAGCGGAGGTGGGTCCCACGCGGATCACCTCGGTAGCTCGCCGCCCCTTGGGGGGCTTCCGATCTGCGCAATTGTCGCCACTTTCGTGGGCTCCTGGGAGGCCCAGCGGAGGTGAGCCCACGCGGACCACCTCGGTAGCTCGCCGCCCCTTGGGGGGCTTGCGATCTGCGCAACCGTCGCCACTTTCGTGGGCTCCTGGGCGGCCCAGCGGAGGTGGGTCCCACGCGGATCACCTCGGTAGCTCGCCGCCCCCTGGGGGGCTTGCGATCTGCGCAATTGTCGCCACTTTCGTAGGCTCCTGGGAGGCCCAGCGGGGGTGGGTCCCACGCGGACCACCTCGGTAGCTCGCCGCGCCCTGGGGGGGCTTGCGATCTGCGCAACCGTCGCCACTTTCGTGGGCTCCTGGGAGGCCCGGCGGAGGTGGGTCCCACGCGGACCACCTCGGTAGCTCGCCGCCCCCTGGGGGGCTTGCGATCTGCGCAATTGTCGCCACTTTCGTGGGCTCCTGGGAGGCCCAGCGGAGGTGGGTCCCACGCGGATCACCTCGGTAGCTCGCCGCCCCTGGGGGGCTTGCGATCTGCGCAACCGTCGCCACTTTCGTGGGCTCCTGGGAGGCCCAGCGGAGGTGGGTCCCACGCGGATCACCTCGGTAGCTCGCCGCCCCCTGGGGGGCGCAACTGTCGCCACTTTCGTGGGCTCCTGGGAGGCCCAGCGGAGGTGGGTCCCACGCGGATCACCTCGGTAGCTCGCCGCCCCTTGGGGGGCTTGCGATCTGCGCAACCGTCGCCACTTTCGTGGGCTCCTGGGAGGCCCAGCGGAGGTGGGTCCCACGCCGACCACCTCAGTAGCTCGCCGCCCCCTGGGGGGCTTGCGATCTGCGCAATTGTCGCCACTTTCGTGGGCTCCTGGGAGGCCCGGCGGAGGTGGGTCCCACGCGGACCACCTCGGTAGCTCGCGGCGCCCTGGGGGGGCTGCGATCTGAGCAACTGTCGCCACTTTCGTAGGCTCCTGGGAGGCCCAGCAGATGTACGTCTTACGCGTTGCCGCTGCTCTTCTTGCTGCGCTCTTCTGAGTTCACTGATGGGTGCTCTTCTTCCGCACTGCGGTTTTTTCAGCATACCCGTCAGCATTGAGTGGTCCCGAATGTAACCACCACGTGTATAGAAAGGGTTGGGTACGTCGCAGGGTAATTACGGTTTTTGAATTTTCCTCCGGTAGAGGGACATGCCCGATTTAAGGTCATGATGGTAAAGGTGAGCGAGGACCAGGGCCGCTCCTGGAGCGACCACCGGATGATCTGGGGGCCGGGCCACGGCTGCGACGAGCCGTGTGTGCCCGCCGCTTCGTACTCGTCCATTCGAAGAAGACAAAACGGCACAGGCATAAACTTTGGAGGTCCGCGCGGGTTTCCTGGATCTGCGCCGGGGACCCCCCCGCGGCGTCTCTGGCGCCGCCCTTGGCGCTCCGCGCGCCAGGAAGGGGGGTCCAGCGCCTATCCAGGAAATCCGCGCGGACCGTCGAAAAATTATGCTTGTGCCGTTTTCTGTTCCTCTGTCCATGGCGCCCCTGGGGGAGGGGCCCGACAGCCGGGTCGGCATATTCTATCCGCAGGGCTGCGCCAGCTGCCGCAGCCGCGCCCGACCGAGGCGCCTCTCGGGAGTCGCGCGCAGGGGCGCGCCACGAGGAGCGCCCCATCTTCGGCGCGGCGTCGCCTTCGGAGGGAGCCAGCGGGAGGCCGACGGGAGCAGGGCGGAAGCGGGTCCAAGGGCGGAGCGTCGGCGAGAGATGACGGAAGTATAATCGGGATCCCCGCAGAGGGGGGGGGGGCCCAGGGGCGCGGAGCTCTTCCATGTCTGAGCGCTTCCGGCCCCCCTCCTCCCCTCGCGCGGCCGCCCTAGTCCCTAGTCCTCTTTCCTTCCTCTTGCACGCCGGACAATTCGCCTTTCGGTTGCCCCCATTAGCCCACGCTGGTGCGGACTGCCTCTGCCTCGCCGCCGACGGAAAAAGTGTGTGCCCTTGGGTGGGGGAATTGATGAGTTTCTTCACCGGACCGCCCAAAATAGATGCTCCCCAGCCGCCGGCCCGATAGTTGCCGATAGGAGGGGCATGCGGGGAGCATCTGTTTTCGGCAGTTCGGTGCACCAACGGATCGAACTCATGCCCCCCCTCAGGGTCACCTCTTTCTTGGTGGATCCCGATATAAGTCAGAGGAGCAAGAGGTCATGATGATGATGCGTTCCAGAATTTCCCAGGTTTCCAGGATTCCCCAACGTTCCACACGTGCTATCGAAACAAGGGCCGCTAAATGTCCTGGGAATCCTGGAACACATCTTGAGCCAATCGTATCATGACATCAATCATGACATGATTCTTGCCCTAAGAAGGCCCAGAGACCCATGAAAACATCATCACGGCGGTCTCTCTCCGTGTTCGACCTTTAGAGGCTTCGCTGGGCCCCATGACCGTCAAAAAAGCGACTCTGAATAAAAAGCCGGTCCCGGGAAGTGGGTCGAGGTTTCAGGGATTGCGTGCGGAAAAAATCAAGACATCGGATATCTGGAGACGTGCCCCGAAGAGAGGCCAACACATTTGAGTTCGTGATGCTTTACCAGGCCATCGTGAGGCATTCGTTCGGGGCCATTTCGAGGTTCCCAGAGGCCTCCCTCCCGAGTCCTCGTGGTGGGGCCAGCGGACATGCGTAACAACGCGAGCCGGCTCATCTTCGAGGGGCGGGGCGCGAGCTTCACCACCTTCGAGGCTCGGCAGAGTGAGAGGGAGGTCCTGGTGTGAATGGAGCCAGAGGCCTTTGGATTCTCCCCCCCCCTGCGACGC